GCTCTGTTCTTACATTGAGTTCTCTTTGGATTTATATATTCTTTGGAATTATCCATACGAATTATCAAAAATATTATATATATATATATATATATATATATATATATATATATATATATATATATAGTGAATATACACAATACCCAACGTCGATAACACTACTGGGAGTTTCATGCAAATTTCAGGGGTGGATTCTGCCCGATATCTGTCGCGTTTAATCACAATCACGAGAACGCGACAGATAACTGTAAAAATATTTACTATTATATACTTATAGCTCTGTTTCATAACATTGAGCACTGTTTTCATAAAATCTTAGGAATAAATATACTTACATGTGTGTGTATGTAATTGTTTTATCCTACCCATTGATATATATATATATATATATATATATATATGCTCAATAAAGAGTAGAGCGAATATAATTATTTATTTAAAAATTATATTATAACAGTGATTTTATAATATATTTATGTTATAATTTTTAAATATATATATATATATATATGTGTGTGTGTGTGTGTGTGTGTGTGTGTGTGTGTTTGTGTGTGTGTATGTTCTGTTTATACGCTGTTTTTAGAGATACAATGGCGTTTGAATTAGGTCTTTCAACCGGCTTCATATTCACCTAATAAAAAAATTTTGTGTGAGGGCAAGGGCAATAAATTTCGGATTTTTATAGATACAATAGATTTTTTAACCGGATTTTTTGTTTAAAAGATTTTTGGGATCCGGCAATGTCATAATTTCTCATATTGGTATAGTTTGCACATGCGGGCATAATTGTGATATGCTTTCACACTTCTTAAAAATTTTCCACCTTACAAACGGATCCCTGGCATTACTTCTTCTAAATTCCACAGGCGTTTGGCAAGTTTGGTGGAGTATCTAAAGGTTGGCAGCTTAAAAGACGATGCGTGATTGTACCAATTCCGCTTGAAAGAGCCTTCCGTGCAGCTTATATGTTTTAATTTGAACATTTATATTTATTACTTGTGCTTTATAAATTATAGTTCCTTTTTGCAAGCTCCATGTAATGGGCATCAAATTTTATTTCTACGGTTGCATAAGTTTTGAGATTTCCGTTATTTTGACATTATATTATTATATCTAAATGTATTTATATATTGTATAGTTATATATTATATTGTATACTTATTATATATATATATATATATATATATATATATATATATATATATATATAGAGAGAGAGAGAGAGAGAGAAGGCACGGTGGAGTAGGGGGTAGTGACTCGTGTTTGGAGAGCCGAGTTCGAATTCTAGTCGAAATCATTACATTCATTTACGTTTTAATACAGTTAGGAAGGTATGAATTCTTTTTTCTCCCTCCAGCTATGGATAAATTGCAGGACAGGCTAGGTTCTATAGCTTTGGATGACAACTAGTCTAGGAAAAGTACAAAATTTCAAAACCTGCGGAGGGTTGTTTGGGGACTCTGTAGTACGTAGTGTATCAGGTCTCTGTTTTCGGCCCTTCAAAAAGTGTGGGTGGTTCTGCACAAAGCCTTCACCAATATAATGAAATTATATATGCTGGTGTCTGACTGTCGGTTCCTAGAAACTGTGTTGCTGACCCTCATACGTTGAATGCGTCAAGAGAGTACACGATATATATATATATATATATATAGTACACAAAAATATATATATATATATATATATATATATATATATATATATATATAAAGAAAGAACAGTAAGATATATAATCCGGTGTTCTTATAGATATTTTTTATTTTTACAAAAGAGTGCTCAATGTAAATTTACAGAGCATTAATATTATAAATAAATTGATTTAAAATATTTTTTGTTCGCTACACAGTTCTAACCATGTTTCAAAAATGAAAGCTGAAAGCTCCGAATTTAATTTTGTAATTAAATTCACTTGAGGATTAAATGGAACTAATGTCTTTAATTTAATTACAAAATTAAATTCAGAGCTTTCAGCTTCCTTTTTTGAAACATGGTTTGAACTGTGTAGCGAAAGAAAAACGTATTTTAAATCAATTAATTTATAACGTATATATATATATATATATATATATATATATATATATATATATATATATATATATATATGCAGATAGGAAAAGCGTGAAATTTTCAGGAGTTAAAACTATTTACAATTATTATTATTATTATTATTATCATTATTATTATATATAATATGCTTCCGAGGAGGATATAAATTTAAAGAGAGCTCAGTGTAAGAATAGAGCAAATATAATAATAATGAATAATTTATTTCACGGGATCCGCCGCCATTTTTTCAGAGCAAAGAAATTTACAGTAATCGAAGTGTTTTGTAAAAAAATTTATTGTTTGTTGTAAATTTTATGGCCTGTAGAGTTGGGGTATGATCCTGTAAAATAAATTCTTACCAATAGATTTGTAAGCACTCCACTTTTTATTATTATTTTATTTGCTCTGTTCTTACATTGAGCTCACTTTGGATTTATATAATAAATAGTTTTAACCCCTGAAAATTTTACTGTTTTTCTATCTGAAATTTCTAATGAATCTTAATTCTTATGTTAATGTTTGAATAAGCTCATGGCGATGTTACACGACATTAATGAATCGTCCAATTCTCCTATCGAACCGTTAGAAAATCTTTAACAAAATATTGCAATAACAATCACAAATATGAATGCTGGTCGTTATTTTAAGAAGTAAGGGGATACAAATGAAAAGAGTTTCAATTTTTCTGTTTCACTGAAACAGACGTGAAACACATCTTCGCAAGTTTTTTTTGTTTTTTTTTTTTCTCTTTGAAACCAAGTACTGTGTCTGGTATGTATTTTCTCCTCTCATCCGATCAAAATGGAATAGTTCATTATTTATGAGGTAAATACTCATCTTTCTAGCTGATATAATGGTGTCGGTAACTTAAACATAAACCTAATTAATAATTGAATAAAAACTAACGTAAATATGAAATTAACATTTAGAATGTCAATTAATCATCAGGCTAATACACAAAACCATTTTTCGTTTGCAGCTGTCAGATTTTTTAAATGGAGGAGTTTTTTTTATATATTTTTAAAATTTTTATTGGGGGTCAAATATTATGAAAAGGTAATACAAACAATTAAAAATATATAAACAAATATAAAAATAATAATTATTCACAATTTGGTTTGGTTCGGTCTGTTTTGTTTTACGGCATATCAACCTAATTGACAAGATTTTTATTGCTGCTAATAATTCTTGTTTAAAAATATATTACTTCTAATATTTTTTTTCCAAAAATATATTGCTGGAAATATTTTGTTTTCGAAAATGTATAGCTATCAATATATTCTTTTTCAAAAATGTATTGCTGGTAATTTAAAAAAAAATGAATTACTGTCACTAATTTTTTCATCAAAAAATGCATTACTGATATTAAAACTTATTTTTACACTTTCTTGGCGTTTTCATCCCAGTTTGGGGTTAACTATTTACCTATAGCTGGACCCTAACAGGGGCTGCCACGGCAGGTCAGGATGGACCTAGGAATACCCGCAATTATGAGGTGGTTCCATGCTCCTCAAAACCTTTTGATCTGAGGCCATGCTGTCCGATGTAGTTTATCGCCTGACTCAGGACGCGGATGTAGTTTATCGTCTTACCCAGGACGCTTCACAATTTGTTAAAAAAGCTCTCGTCTTTTTCTACGTCTTTCTTTTTACTTTATTTGATATGTTCGATTGATAAACGCTTCGTATTTGTTCTTAATCCTATAATTTATGTATTTATTCTTTATCCTATAATTATGTATTTTTTATCCTATAATTTCTATGTCTATTCTTTGATTGATAAACACTCTCTATTTGTTATTAATCCTATAATTTATGTATTTATTCTTTATCCTATAATTATGTATTTTTTTATCCTATAATTTCTATGTATATTCTTTGATTGATAAACACTCCCTATTTGTTATTAATCCTATAATTTATGTATTTATTCTTTATCCTATAATTATGTATTTTCTTTATCCTATAATTTATGTATTTATTCTTTATCCTATAATTATGTATTTTCTTTATCCTATAATTTCTATGTATATTCTTTAATTGATAAACGCTTCCTATTTGTTCTTAATCCTATAATTTATGTATTTATTCTTTATCCTATAATTATGTATTTTTCTTTATCCTATAATTTCTCTGTATATTCTTTGATTGATAAACGCTTCCTATTTGTTCTTTATCCTATAATTTATGTATTTATTCTTTATCCTATAATTATGTATTTTTTTTATCCTATAATTTCTATGTATATTCTTTGATTGATAAACACTTCCTATTTGTTCTTAATCCTATAATTTATGTATTTATTCTTTATCCTATAATTATGTATTTTTTCTTTATCCTATAACTTCTATGTATATTCTTTGATTTTTGTCTTCATCTTTCTTTTTCTTTTCTTCCTTATTTTTTTGTACGTTCCTATTTTACTCTTTCTTGAGTTTTATTCTATCTTTCTTTTCTATTCTTTATTTCCTTTTTTGTCGCTGATCCTTTTATATATTCACTTTAACCTGCCATCTTTGTTTTAGTATTAAAGTTTCTTTTTTTTCTTCCTATCGTTTCATCCTTTACTTTTTTTATTTCTTTTCTACTCTTCTTTCTTTCTTTCTTTTTTCATTTTTCTTTCTTTCTCTTTTATCCACTCTCATTCATTTTTTACGGTTTTCTTTCTCTTTCTAATTCATCTTCTGGTTCTTTTTTACTTTTTCTTCATTTTATACTTTTACCTAATTTTTTAAATTTCGTTTCTTTTTTAATCTTTTTCTTTATTTATTTAGTTCTTCCTTTTTTTCTAATTTTTTTCTGTTTTTTTATACACACTTTCGTCGTTTCTTTCTTTTTTTTATTTTCGTTTTATTTACGGTTTTCATTCACTAATTCTTTTTTTTTTTTTTAATTTCCCAGTTCTTGTTTTTACTTTTTTTTTCTAGCTATTTTTTTAGTTTCCCTCTAATTGTAATGTATTTTATTCTCTTTATCTTTTTCTCCCTTTATTTCCTATCGATTTTTTTTCTTTTTTCTTCTATTTATTTTTTTATCCTTTTCATCTTTTTTCGTTGTTTCTTTCATTTTCATTACCATTTTTATACTGGTTTCTTTCTTTCGTATTATCTTTCTTTATTCTTTCTTTCTTTTTTTCTTTCTTTCTTTCTTTTTTCTTTCTTTCTTTATTCTTTATTTTTTCTTTTTTTTTTTTTTCTTTTTTTTTTTTTTTTCTTTCTTTCTTTTTTCTTTTTTTTTTCTTTCTTTTTTATTCTTTATTTTTTTCTTTCTTTCTTTATTCTTTTTTCTTTTTCTTTCTTTCTTTCTTTCTTTCTTTTTTCTTTCTTTCTTTATTCTTTATTTTTTTCTTTCTTTCTTTATTCTTTTTTTCTTTATTCTTTCTTTCTTTCTTTCTTTCTTTTTTCTTTCTTTCTTTATTCTTTATTTTTTTTCTTTCTTTCTTTATTCTTTTTTTCTTTATTCTTTCTTTCTTTCTTTCTTTCTTTTTTCTTTCTTTCTTTATTCTTTATTTTTTTCTTTCTTTCTTTATTCTTTTTTTCTTTATTCTTTCTTTCTTTCTTTCTTAATTTAATTTCACTGTTTTGGTTATTATTCTTTTTTCTTTTAGCTTTTTTTTTAGTCTTTTAACTTCTTTCTTTCTTTCTTTCTTTCTTTCTTTTTTCTTTCTTTCTTTATTCTTTATTTTTTTTCTTTCTTTCTTTATTCTTTTTTTCTTTATTCTTTCTTTTTTCTTAGTCTTATTCATTTTTATCGTCATTAATAGGATTTCTTTTAATTATTCTATTTTTTTTTATTTCTTTCTGTTTTTTTTCTATTTGTTTTTCTATCTTTTTAATTCCTTAATTTTGTTCATATCTTATTTTCATTTTTTTTACAGTTTTCCCTCTTTCTTTCCTTCTTTCTTTCTCTCTTTCTTTCTTTCTTATTTCTTTCCTTCCTTTTTTTCTTTCTGTCTTTAATTTTCCTGTTTTTTTTTTGTTTCTTTCTTTAAACGTAGCTATTTTCTTAGTTTCATTCTTTTTATAATTTAATTTCTTTATTCTCCTTTATTTCCTATAGTTTTTTTTTTATATATGTTTCTTTCATTTGTTTTATTTTCGACTTTACGAGTTTCTTTCTTTCTTCTGTTTTTTCATTCTTTCTCGTTTTCTTTTTTCTTTCTTTCTTTGTTCCTTTCTTTCTTTAATTTCTTTGTTCTGGTTTTTTACTCTTTTAACCTCTTTTTTCTTAGCTACATTCAAATTTTTATCTTACTTTTTTGGGACTTCTTTTAATTAATTAAATTTTTTTTAGCAGTTTTTCTAGTTCTTTTTCTTTCCTTGTTCTTGTTTTTTATTCTTAAAAAAACAAATTTACATCCTTTCTTAGTTTTATTCTTTTCTTCTTCTTCTTATTTCTCCCTCGTTTCTTCATTTTTATTTTCGATTCTTTCTTTACTTATTTTTCCTTTTTCTTTCTATTTCATTCATGTATTTTTTCTTTCTAATTTCTTCCTTTTATTCTGTTTAAGCTTTTTAACTATATATATATTTTTTCAATTTTTTCTTTCTATCATTTTATCTTTTTCCTTTTTCTTTATTTCTTTTACCTTCTAGATTCCTTTAATCTTTTTATAATGATTTTTTTTTACTCTTTTAGTTTCTTTTTCCTGAGTTTCATTCATTTTGAATCGTCATTTTTAAGATTTCTTTTTTTTATTTAATTTTTTTTTTAGTTCTTTTTTATTTTTTGTCTATTTCTCTTTCATTTTTTTTACATTCATTTGTTTTCTTTTGTCATTTTACCCACTTAATTTTTCCATTTCTTATTTTCATTTTTTTTACTGTGTTCCTTTTTTCTTTCCTTCTTTCTTTCTTTCTTTTATCTGTTTTTGTTTTTACTTTATTTTAATCATCTCGCTATTTTCTCAGCTTCATTCGTATTGTAAATTAATTTCTTCTTTTAATCTTTTTTTCTTTTATTTCCTATAGTTTTTAATATGTTTCTACATTTTTTATTTTCGTTTTTTACATTATTATTATTTCTTCTTATCGTTTCTTTTCTTATTTTTCGTTCATTTTTCTATTTCATTCTTGTCTTTTTTATCTTTCTAATTTCTTCATTTTATTCACTTTCTTTAAGCTTTTTAATTATATTTTAATTTTTTTTTATTTTTTCTTTCTATCAGTTAACTTTCTACTTTTTTTTATTTTTTCCTTTCTTTCCCTTTCTTTGTTTCTTTTACTTTCTAGATTTATTTAATATATTTTTAGTGATTTTTTTGGTTTGTAATTCATTCATATTTTCCTCTTCTTTGCGGTTATGAGTTTCTTTTCTCACCCATTCCTGCTTTTTGTCTTTCCCAAGTAATTCTTCTTCCCCCCACACTTCCTGCGTTTATTTATCAGCCATTTTGGACGTTGTCGACAATCGAATACAGCTCAAGTCTCCGGAGGAATCACGTGACCCAATAATCTACGACTGAAGATGGTAGTCCCCGTACATGAGACACATGTGAGAATAGTTGCATTAAGAACTGGAGCATTGATGGAAAGACTAGAAACAGAAAAGCAAAAGAAAGAAACAAAGAAAGAAACAAAGAAAGAAAGAAAGAAAAATAGGTAAAGGCGGAAAAAAAGAAAAGAAAAAAGAACGTGAAAGGATGTAAAAGAAAAAAGAAAGAAAGAAAGAAAAAATAGGTAAAGGCGGAAAAAAAGAAAAGAAAAAAAGAACGTAAAAGGATGTAAAAGAAAAAAGAAAGAAAGAAAAATTGGAAAAGACAGAGAAAAAGAAAAGAAAAAAAGAATGTAAAAGATATAAAAGAAAAAAGAAAGAAAGAAAGAAAGAATGAAAGAAGGAAAGAAAAGACATGACAAAGCATCCAAATATCATCTTGTCTTCATTTCATCGATGAAATGAAGACAAGAAAGAACAAAAAAGGAAAAAAAGAAGGAAAAGAAGAGAAAAAAGAGACGAACACCAAACAGATATCATAATTAATATGCAATGAGGAAAAAGAAGAAAAGAAAGAAAGTAAGAAGGGAAGGAAAAAGAAAGATATTATGAATAAAATATGTAATGAAGACAAAAACTGAAAAAGAAGGAAATAGATGTTTAAGTAATGGAAGAATTTCAAAAAAATCAATGAATGAAAGAATCAAAAGAAAGAATATATCTATTAAATGAATGATTTATTTATTCCATTCCTTCTTCTTCTTCATCTTCTTCTTCTTCTTCTCCTCCTCCTCCTCCTCATTATTATTATTATTATTATTATTATTATTGATTTGTGAGTCAAGGTGAATAATTCGATAATTTGTGTTCTTTTTGCATAACAGATTCCCATGGCAAACGTCTTTTGTAAAAAGACGATCAAAATGCATTACATTCGAAAAGTAATAATTTAAGACAAACCATTGTCGTTGAGGATGAAATAAAGATGGGGTATCGAGAGTGAAAGATGTGGAAAAGAAGTGGACAACGAGAATGGGACGAGATTTGCCCGAGATGTAAAACACTGATGGGAATTGCAAAAGATGTGGCATGCTAGGGTGAATGAAGAAGGACTAAATGGAAACAATATGGATACAAATAATAACTACAACAACAACAATAATAATATTAATAATAATGGTATTAATAATAATACTACTACTAATAATAACTACAACAACAATAATAATAATAATGACATTAATAATAATAATAATAATGCCAATAGTAATAATAACAACAACAATAATAATAATATTAATAGTGCCACTACTAATATTAATAACAACAATAATAATGCTAATAATAATGATAATACTAATACTACTACTACTACTAATAATAGTAATAATAATACTCATAATAATAATAGTAATAACAACAAAAACAATAATAATAATAATTTCAACAACAATAAGAATAATAATAATAATAATCGATACAACGACAATAATAACAATAATAATAATAATGACAATAATAATACTAATAATAACAACAACAAACAACAATAATAATAATGATAATACTACTACTACTAATAATAATAACAACATTAATAATAATACTAATAATAATAATGATAATAATAATACTAATAATACTACTACTAATAATAATAACAACAATAATAATAACAATATTACTACTAATAATAATCGTAACAACAACAGCATTCTTTCTTTCTTTTTTCTTTCTTTAATTTCTCTGTTCTGGTTTTTATATATATTTCAACAACAACAACAACAACACCAACAATAATAATAATAATAATAATAATGCACTAAAAAGTGTGATATAAGTCAATAGATAAGATATAATAATAAAATACTTCAAAAAGCTCAAGCTCTGTCTCAGTGGCATGGTATATCCCACTTAATAAAAAATATCTAAAAGTTTCAAGAATGTGGCACTTAAAGCATTATTATTATTATTATTATTATTATTGTCGTGGGTTTCTGTAGTATACACATTTTCTTGCGGGTCCCAACAAGAGACCTAAGATCAGATATGGCTACATGCCATCTCCATTTTTTGTAAAAAAAAAAGTATACATAAGATCATACACATTTTACTTAGATACAGTTCTTTGTAATGCGTAAGCTATACTTGTAAGTATAATTCTTTTGTTTTTCTTTAAGCATGGGATTCCAGGAATTCCCTCATTGAGTCTATCGGAACCTTTTCAAATCAATGCGTGGGCTTCAACTACAACTGGAATTATTAATGTCCACATGTGCCACATTTTTGAGGTTTCCACTTCAAGATGTTTATATTTTGATAGCTTTTTGAAGATCTTCAAAGATACATTACAACCTGAAGAGACTGTCTCTTCTTGTAGTCTTTGATCACGATGTCTAGATTTGATTGCTTTTTCTGTGTGTATTATAAAGTCCCATAAAATTGTTACGCATCCCATCTGTAACCGGGTCTGAGTGATGCTAAATAGGCCTGGGTGATGTTAACCGGGTCTGGATGATGTTTATTATTATTATTATTATTATTATTATTATTATTATTATTATTATTATTTCCTTTGGTTTCTGGCGTTTACACATTTCTTTCCGGGTCCCGCCCAGGGACTTAAGGTTAGAAATGGCATCATGTTAATTTCCACTGACAGAAAAAAATACATAGATAAAGCCCTTCGTAAAGAACAATTTTTTGTATCTCTTTGAGGCATGGACTTCCAGGAATCCCTTCAATTAGTCTACTGCAATCTTTTCCAACCAATTCTAGTGCTCCAACTACAACAGGTATTGTTGATGTTCCCATATGCCACATTTTTGAGATTTCTATTTCAAGGTCCTTGTATCTTGACAGCTTTTTGAATATCTTCAAAGCTATATTGCAGTCTGCAGAGACTGCCATATCAATAAGGAGGCACTTTTTTGTTTGTAGTCTTTAATAACAATCTCTGGGCGGTTGGCTTTGATTGTTCTGTCAGCGTGTATTGTGTAGTCCCATAGAATTGTAACAGGTCCTATCTCCTTAACCGGGTCTGGTTGGTGTTCATACCAGTTTCTTTCAGTTTTCTTTCAGATATTGGCCCACTCTGTTATGCCGGGTTTTATATTCAGTGGGTGCCAATATCGTGCAACCTGATACAAGATGATCAATCGTTTCTGGATATTTATCACAGAATCTGCATTTTGGGCTGACACAATATTTTAGTATATGTGTATGATAATTCCTAGTTAGCAAGCAGTGGTCCTGTGCAGCAAGGATAAAACCTTCAGTTTCAGCTTTCAACCCTGCACTACGTAGCCACTGATGGGTACGGGTTTTGCCTACGTCAGCTTGTTTGGTAAGGGCAGAGTATTGGCCATGAAGCGGTTTATCTTGCCATCGCTTCTGTGTCTGGTCGGTTGCATTCGTCTTTGTCTTCTTTTTTAAGTATTTTACAGCTTCGGCCGGTGTACTGCGCTTTAGTTGTATGTCTGCACCCATTTGAAACTCCATTTTGAATTTGTTGGCTTCCGGACTAATGACGCTTACTACTTGCATGTTCCTTGATACATACCATTTTCCAGTCTTCTGTAGTTTCCAAGTGTATTTGGAGGCCAATTGTTGCCGTTTTGTATTATTATTATTATTATTATTATTATTATTATTATTATTATTATCATCATCATCATTCGATTTCTGCTATGGACACACTACCTACCAAGTCTGCGGAAAGACCTAAGGCAGGTCATGGTGTGTTGTTATGGCCACATTTCATGTTAATTTTTTTTTTTTTTTTTTTTATCTCCGATGAAGTTGCTAGCGTTACATAGACAAAGTTCTCCTTAGTGTGTGTGCTGTACTTAATAAGACAATTTTCTGTATGTCTCTTAAGCTGGGGTTTCAGGGATTCTTTCAATGTGTTGTTTTGTTCCATTTTTATAATTCCAAGTGCACCTATTACCACTGGTATTATTCTTGTTTTCAATTTCCACATTTTTTCTATTTCAATTTCCAGGTCTTTGTATTTTGATAGTTTTTCAAATTCCTTGGTTGCTATGTTACAATCCGCTGGACAAGCCATATCAATTAGTAGGCAAGTTTTTTCTTTCTGGTTTTTGACAATAATGTCCGGCCTATTTGCTTCAATTTTTCTGTCTGTGTGGATGGTATAATCCCATAGAATGGTGACATCTTCTATTTCTGTAACCGGCGCTGGCCGATGTTCATACCAGTGTTTGCTTACACATTTTCCAAAGTGTTTGCACATTGTCCAGTGTAAGTATTGCCCCACTCTATCGTGACGATTTTTATATTCATTTGGGGCAAGTATAGAACATCCTGAGATTAGATGGTCTATTGTTTCTTGGTATTTGTCACAGAACCTGCATTTTGGATCCACATTATTATGTATGATATTTGCCTGAAAATTCCTAGTGATTATTATTATTATTATTATTATTGTTATTATTATTATTATTATTATATTTCGTTTTCTGATATTGTCACACGACCTACCAAATCTTCGGAAAGAGCTAAGCACTTAATGGTGTGTTGTTATGGATAGATTTCATGATTTCGTTTTCAAACTTCCATAACATCATTAGCGTTACATGGACAAAACTCTTCTTAATGTGTAGGCTGTAGAAAATTTTTTGTATTTCTCTTTAACAGGGATTCTCAGGGTTTTTTTTTTCAATGTGTTGTTGTGTTCCTTTTTTATCATTTCAAGCGCACCTACTACGACTGGTACTATTCTTGTTTTCAATTCCCACATTTTTTTCTATTTCTATTTCCAGGTATTTATACTTCGATAGTTTTTCAAATACCTTAGTTGCTATGTTACAGTCCGTTGGGCAAGTCATATCAATTAGTAGGCAAGGGTTTTGTTTTCGGGTTTTGACAATAATGTCCGGCCTATTTGCTTCAATCTTCCCGCCTCTAAAGATGCACAAATCTCATAGAATTGGGATACCTTCTATTTTTGTAACCGGTGATGGGTGATGTTCATAACAGTGTTTATTAACATTTTTTCCAACGTGTTTGCACATTGTCCAGGGTAACTATTGCCCCGCTCTATCGTAACGGCGTTTTATATTCATTTAGCGCAAGTACAGAACTGAGATTATATAGTCTATGAATTTGTGATATTTGTCACGGAACCTGCATTTTGGATCCACACTATTATGTGTGATATTCGACTGAAGGTTTTTAGTGAAATGACTCTGGTCTTACGCTGCACGAATAAAGCTCTCTGTTTTAGCCTTTAAACCAGATGCTCTTAACCATCGACAGTCGCTTCATTAGAATGTTCTGGATCCATCCTGGGTAAGACGATAAACTACATCCAGCAGCAAGGACTCTGATCAGGGGGTTTTGAGGAGCGTAAAACCACCTCTTAATTGCTGATGTTCCCAGGTCCACCCTGACCCAGGCTGGTAGCACTTGTTAGGATCCCAGCTATGGGCAAATACTTGACCCCCCCAAACTGGGGTCAAAGCACTATGAAAGTGTAAAAATAGGTTTTAAGAACCGATATACTTTGTAAAAAAATATTACAAACGATAAATTTTTGAAGAAAAATTATTACCAGCAATACATTATTGCCTTCTAAACATTACTGAAAAAAAATTACCAGCAATACATTTAGGA